CTTGCTGTCTCCAGATAAATGCTTTTACTTACTTTTTGTAGTTCCGCCATTTTTTAAAATTTTGGATAGATCATATTCCGAAAATGATAACCTAGGCAAACTGCTTAAAACTTAAGTAAATTGTCAATTGAAGGTAGTCCGTCACTTTTCTTTCTCAACATACTTATATTTTAACTAGAATTACTGGTTCACAACTGTTTGTCTAGTGGTTTGAAAGTACTTCAGTTGTAACGACTTAGAGCAAAGTGATGAGAAATGTGTACTGAAACTTCTAAAAAGCTGTCACTAGTGCTTACTTTTCTAATTCATCGTACGTGGATATTTGTTCATTTCAAAGATAATTCTCATCGATTGGCGATCCAAAGAGAAATATTGTTTGAAACCACTCAGGAGGCAGCGAATGATATTTTTTAAGGAGATAAATGCCCAAGATAACAGACCAAAAAACCTTCCAGTGCGTATAACTAGTTTGATTAAGTCAATTAATTTAGTTTATTACCTTACCAACAGAATAAAAATAAAAAAGAGAGTGAATAAGTGACGTGGTAAATGATAATAATAATGTATTGTTTGACCGTTAATCGAAGCGTGAATAAAATTTTCAGTAAATATCGTCATTTTCATTTTATCTGTGTGTGAGCTGTGATACTGTCCAGGTGCCCAGACCGAAGCAGGTGGTTTTCTTAGGGGGCCACACCCCGACCCTTTGACCTAAAGGTCTGACCCACAAGGCAGTGAAGCACCGTGAGAAGATGCAGTCCCATAGTAGCTGGTGACCAATAATTGGTTCATACGCCATTTCTTCCTTCAGGATTTTGAAGCCCATATGCACCATTGGTTCGAAATCAGGGTTTTCCAACTCCCCTAGATGGATCCTCCATATCCACCAACCCGGTAAAGCGTCGGACATTCGCTTTTTGTCCTCTCAATTTCGTAAACAACACCCCAGCCACTAGAAGGCAATGAGTAGGACTTCCCTGGTAGAGGCTATATACGCGTGGTCATGTGAGAGCATTTGGGGAGGGAGAGCGGACTCTCCCCACTCTCGGCCGTATCAGGGCATTTGGAGGCGCATATATATATGGTGCCCCCTCGTGCCAATATTTATGTGTTCAAATAAATAAAATAATAAATTACCAACAGGTCATAACTGTTCTCTCAGCCAATTCTGTTTAATATACATTGAGAGCTATCATTGCATTACCAAATCAGTACAAAACTACTTTATGCATAGAGAAGAGAAAACTGTATGTTTTGTAATTAAATTTATTCACTAACAAAAGAATTTGTTGAATGATGAATAATCTGGAGTAGTTGAAGTTAATTTACATGAAAAAAATACACAAGTTCTGAAGGAAGGTAAATTCTATTATTACTATTATTATTATTATTATTATTATTAGCAGGCTATACTAGTGTACTCTAATGCTTCACTTGTAGACGTTTTTAATAACTTTCCGGGTTGAAACATTAAATCCACAACATATAAATCTCTATACGTTTGAGATTTCTACAAAAAAGCAACAAAGGTTTTTGAAGTTAGTCATTCAAGCAGTTGATAATGGAAAAAAATGGTAAAAAACAGTTAGCCGACAAGTCAGAGGTTAATCAATTAAAAATTTAAAGATTGAGACGGTGAATAAAATTTTCTAAAAACTTCACACGTAACATCTTTTAGGATGAAGATTTTCCTTAACTTCACAGATGATTTTTCATCATTTACTGTTTGTGATTTTCAAACCATACAGTTCAGCTTGATTTTGCCCATCTTGACTGGTCTTTTTTATCCCTAATTTTGATTCGAAAATAGTCAGTCAGTCAGTCAGCTACAAAGTAAGACCAGGCACATATATGCATCGGTTCAGGTTGTCATACCGCATTAGCACAGCAAGATGAACACCGGATTCATAGGAGTGGTTGGGTCAAAGGTGGTAATATATAAAGGAAAGATTGCAATAATGATATAGTACAGAAAGAAAGAATTAGTTCGTAGAAAGAAAGATATGAAGCGATTTTAATCTCTTAGTTTAAGGGAGGACAGAGTGTATACACCGACGCCATTGTGATCGATTCTGAGCCATGTCACCAAGAGCCTCCAACCATTGGTTACGATAGTCACGCGGACCCCAACCAAGTAGTCTGCATCTACCAGCATGGATCAGATTAGAAGTTAGTGACTTCAAGCACTGATGCCACATTTTGGTTTGGCCGCCCCTAACTTTCTTCCAAGCATCCCTAACACTGGTTAGCATTGCACGTTGTGGTAATCGGTGTTCAGGCATACGTAACACGTGGCCCAACCATCTCAGTCGATGAAGATTCACAACCTCATCAGCTGATTTACCATCATTCCCTAATACCCTGCGTCTAACCTCACTATTACTTACCCGGTGATCCCAGTAGACGCCAGCAATATTTCTAAAGCATCTGTGGTCAAATACTAGTAGCTTACGACTATCTTCTACTCTTAATGACCATGTTTCGCTGCCGTAAATTAAAACAGAACGTACTGCCGCGCAGTATACTCGTTGTTTTATTGATAGACGGATATCTCGCCTTCGCCATAGGTGACGTAAGTTGGCAAAAGTCAAACGAGCTTTTCGAATCCGTGCTGAGATTTCGTCAGACACCAACCCATTAGGGCTGATCAGACTTCCAAGATAAGTGAAGTTGTCAACGTGTTCGACTATTTCACTCCCTATCCTTAGTTCAGGTGTTGACGCAGACCAGTGCTGAAGCAACAACTTGCATTTAGAGGGAGAGAAGCGCATTCCAAACATTCTGGCATTGTTGCTTAGTGAAACCAAAAGACTGATTAAGCTAGTTAAATTTGGATTATCTGAAAAGTTTACTTCCATAATAACTGTCTACAAATACACTTTAAGTAAAATTCAATTACTGATAACTCGCTAAAGTTTAATACTGGGAAACACAAACTGGTCATAAAAGTGTGGTGTGAGATTTTGAAATAGTTTGCCAATTGACACAAAGTGTAACTGGATTAATAATCAATTAGATTTTAGCTTGTGTTTATTGTTATTATTACCGATAAATATTAACAAACAGTTAGTGTAAATCAGAAATCACTTTACTAATTACTAATTTGATGTATGAAAAAATATTTCTGTAAACTCAAAAAAGAAATTTGTATCCGTTTTTTAATTCTAGAACGTGGACTGTTTTTTGAAACCAACCTAATCTGTGAACTAATTGCTCATGCTTCGAGGAACACGAATAATAAAATTCAATAAGGTAATTGATCACTGAATCGTAACTAAATATTATATTGTGAATTCCTTTGTCATGAAAGTTTGTGTAATTAAGTGAATAAACAGCTTGGGACAATGACCAATTCATTTAGGTTGTTAATCAGATATCTATGACTAAATATTAAGAATCATAAAGTGATATAAACTTTTTGTATTCATAGTAAACTGTGAATTTTCCGTATAATTCCGCTAATTCACAATGCTTCTTTCATAGAAAACATTTAAAATTTAACCTACTGAATTTTCTGGTTCTATCAGGACTTCATTAAATGAACGTCCATATGTTCCACGTATTAAATTGGTTGGTAATCCAATTCGATCAGCAAGCAACTGAATTTATTTGGGGAGAAAGAAATAAAAGATAAAGTAAGAGTTGTTTAGAGATTATTCATTATGAAGGTAGTTTACAATACGAACTGACCAGATAGCTAACAATTCAGTGCTCTACAATTTTTAATGGACATCTATTTGAAGACTATTTCTTCAGAACATTCTAGGATTCCCACATTTCTCTGTCAAGGTCATTTATTAATGAAAACAATAGCTGTAATCTCAATATATACTTACTAATTTAATTGTAATAAATACATAATTTTTTTAAGATAAAGAAAGCAAGTGTAATTGATCTATGTGACTGATAATTCACTAATTGATAATTACAGTAAACATCATAATAGATAATCTTATTGATAAGGAGTTTTTGGTTGAGATCATGAGTCAATTGATGTTGGAAACCTGGAAGCACTGGACGGCCGTCTCGTCCTAGAATGGGACTCCTCCGCAGTGCGCATCCGCGATCCCGCACCCCGCGGGATTCGAACCCAGGACCTACTGGCTTCGCGCCTGAGCACTTAACCATTAGACCACTGAGCCGGCATCCAATGGTGTTAGTGTCTAACATCCAGTGCTTCCAGGTTTCCAACGGTGGTCTAACATCAATTGACTCATGATCTCAACCAAAAACTTAACAATCTCCACAACCCCCATACTGATGATAAGGAGTTGTTGATAAGCTTCGAGACCCAATTCTCATACTATTTTGCAAATCGGATCTGTCACAAAATAATTATGACACATCTTTTCTGTTTACTATTTTTATTGTTACAGTTTACTGGCTTAATATCATGATTACAAGCTTCGGATATCTTTCTAGTTGATTTTGTCGACGCGCACAAGTTACTTGGTAATAAGGGTAATGTATATTTTGGTTACCTATATCCAGAGGTTTGAGTAAATCAACATTGCACTCATGGTTTAAAGGTGAAGTTGAATCTAATACTATATGTAACAAAATTTATCATTAATTGATTACCTAGGCGTAACTTTGGTTAAGATTTCAATTTATGTTGTGGTTATTGATATAAATATGTACTAAAAGTCGAATTCACTCTTAACCATGAGTGAATTGTAGCGTCAAAGAGATCTAGATGTAAACTGAACACTTGAAGTAGACTACTTACTTTAAAAACTAATGCACGTTGTAGAAATGATCCTTGTTTAATTAAACCTATCGGTATTAAGTTAGAATTCAATTGACATCGTAACTGTGCCAGAGATAATTCATTTCTTAGAGTGAATTGTTCATCTTTGTTGACTGATCCTCCGAAACAAGAAGCAACAAATCTTGGGGGTGTAAAACATACAAATAAGAGAAATAATTTTATACAATAAGGAATTTTTTTTAAACATATGAAACTTTTAAAAATAAGACAAATTTCTGTTTATGATGATCGTTATGATTTGTACTTTATGTTGGATGAGACTCATTATGAGTTGTTGCAGAATAGATTTTACAGTTATTGCATCAGCAATTTTGTCCCGACTATTATTTATTGTCGAATATTCTTAGAATATAAGGAAACAGCTGAAAAATGATTATTGTTATTTCATAACTCCTTAATTGATATCGTTAAAATTGAATCAAACTACTTTTAAAACTACTATTAGGTCGACGAAATAGTGAAATTTGCCTGAGAGTAAGTTACATAAAGAGTGATACATAAAACATTTGAAAAAAATGCAGAATACAGTTAACGTAAGAGATATCGTGAATTTCATAGACTCGTAAAAACAATAACAAATATTACAATCATGTTGTTATAAATGTGGTAGATAGCAGAACATAAGCTACTGAATCTCTACTTAAAAAAGATGATTTATGAGATTAATTTTAATGATAGTTATGATCGGAATTCATGACTTTTAGCCAAATCTCAATGTGAAAAAGATATACGCTATTAATTATGTTAAAACAAAACGAAACACTTATCCAAAATTTCACTACTGGATGGATTATTTTACAAAAATCAAATTTACAAAATATTGAATAAACAACTTTTAATTAAACCTACTCTCCTAAAGATTTTATTTGCTCTTTTAATTCACTTATTGACGTAATTTGTTTAATTGCAATATTTAACCAATCATGTAATGTAGAATCAAAAGGATATTTCATTTCATTGAAATAATTTAAATCATCGTGTTTCAAATCATCAGTTTTGGCATCATTCGAATCTTGTGATTGTAAATAATCTGACGATGAAACAATATCACTATTATTAGAGATTAAAGACAAAAAAACACATAGTTTTACCGATTCTAGTGATAAAATCTTATTCAGAAAAAGGTTGTATTAAATGACACTTCCGTCTTATTAAAAATGAGAGAGTAAGTAGTTAGAAGTAGTTAATAGGCATTTATTTTACTCTACAATAAGAGAAGTGATTATCCAAAACTTGGTGGTTACTCTAATATTTATCTTATTATCTTACGAAATAGAAAATTGTCGAAATGACTTAGGAAACAATTAGTTAGGAAAGTTTATCGAAAAAAATTTATCTTACCAGAATTAAATCTAAAAGAAACAAAATTTCCAGTATTTCTGCTTTATTATGTTCATATGTAAATTTGAATTGGATTTAGTTTTGACTTTTGGGCTACTTTTATATCAATATTCCTTTTCTATGACTGCAAACAACGGTTTGTAAATTAAAACTGATGTAACCATAATCATCAGTATCTTTAACTGAGACAGAAATAAGAAGTATCGCTGAGTCCAGATTTCTCACTTCATAGTATGAAAGTGTGATTCCAATAGATTAGTGTTGTGTCTATAACCATATAACTGAGTAATATTAAATCAATGTCCTACGAGAGCATGTTATTTTGAAAGTTGCAGATTCACCCTGTTAATCAGAGTCACAGTGTTTTTCAATTTTCTATAATGGTTAGTTATAAAATTAAAAAAATCAGTAGCATAATAAGTTGTCATTGGTCCACAGAACGGATTCTTCTTTTATGAATAGAATTAAAAGTAAATTCATACCATGCAATATTCGAAGCTAATTTAGTACAAACTTGTCAACATATTGTACCTAAGATTTAGGCTGAAAACATGCCTAAAATACTTACAAGTCATAATAAAAATATTGGGAGAATAAAAGTATATACTAAGTTGTGAAAAGCTTTTGTGAATAAATAGGATAAAATCGAATCAAACTAAGTTGTTATTGAGTATGAGATTAGATTACTGAAAATACGAATGAATGTGTGAAAAAAAATTTAAACAAAAAATCTAACTTCCAGATTCTGACCATTTTTGTAAATTTATTAAAAATATTGGTCGACGGTCATTCACAGATTGTTCATTATATTCATCCAATGTTAAAAATTGAGATGGATTAGTTATTTGACCAGGATCATAAAATAAATCTGGTATATGATCAACAAAATCTGTTTGAAATAAGAAGTAGAACATTATCACCTCAAAATATCCCATGCCAATTTAATTTAATAATATTTTCTCCATTAGATCAATTTCTTAAAAATGATAAAGCTCATATTATAATGAACTGAATAAGAATAATTTAAGTATTATGTATGGTTGATGGTCAGTCAGTTAGCATGAATAACTTGGAAACGAGTATACACTCCTGTTGGTTGAATCTGACAAATCATTTTGGCACAATAACATGAAATTGTCAAGGTAAACTCAAAAGTTGTCGAAACAGTAATAGTATCATTGGTAAAAAGATTACTTACTTACTTACTTACGCCTGTTACTCCCAATGGAGCATAGGCCGCCGACCAGGGTAAAAAGATTAGTCGTAGATAACGTTATTTGAAATAAGACAATCTCAGACCTCAAGATCTATTACACAACCAATAATGAGTGCATCAGCACCAATTTGACTGATCCTAAGTTGTATTATGCGACATTTCCAACATTAGTCACGATAACCGCTGATAGTCTGTAACTAATGACATGGCTCATGCCAACAGCCAGTTGCTTTATGAAGTGATACCACTCTACTCCAAACTTTTTTCCAACCTGCTCCTACACCAGGAATTATTGCTCTTCAAGGTGAAAGACGGTCGACCATACGTAATTCCAACATCCTGGAATGAAGCGACTGTCATTCCCAATCTTTGAAAAGGATCTACACCACTTACGCAACAACTGATGTGAGGAGTAAATCTACTTCCGACTGCGTGCAAACTATTGGCTTTCATCGGACTTTGCAGATTATTCAAGGCACATGACATTCTCGTTCTGACTGTGGATGTAGTGATCACATCTTTGCTCCTCGCCAAGGTTGGAGCACCATCATACTTACTGATAGCTAACAATAGTGGAATTTCTTGAAGTCAGTGTTGCCTTTGATTCAATGGAAAGGACCTTCATCTGAGACTGTCTGTTGAGAAGCTCATTAAAATCTTGAGGGTTCTGTACACAAGCACCACAAACAGAGCGAGGGCGTACAATCACCTCTCCATTGTCTCATTCAAGTAATGGGGTTAGGTAGGGTTACCCGATTTCTTCAACTTTGCCATCGATGACTTTCCACAAACAGTTCTAGTAGAATAAGGTAGTAGTGGTGCGGATCCGTTACCTGGAGGAAAACGTTCCTACCTTGAGTATGTGGAGGAGATTATCTTACTGTGTCGTGATGATACCCAAGTCAGGCAGTCAGAGTCCATCAGCATAGTGTATACTTTTCACCTTCTAAATACAAAGTACATTTACAAGACTAGTAGAATCCTGCGGCTACACTCTTTCTTTGAGGTGAGGCAGTAGAATTAATCGGAAGTTTCATGTAATTGGATAGTTTTATAGGCGTTGGTGGTGCCGTGAGTGATGAAATCAGTCTACACATAATGAGAGTCAGAACATCTTATACTAACCAGGGTCCTCTTTGTAGCCGTTGTGATATTATTCTGACTGTAAAAGATCGGGCTTACTCTGAGCTGATGAGAGTAATTCTGCTCTATATTTGTGTGAACCAATTTCTCTGGGCGGAGTATGTTCGGTGACTTTTTTTTGTTCGATAATCGTTGTCTTTAAAGGATTGCTGACAACTGATAGAAGAACAATGTCAGTGGTACAGAGGTTCGATAACATATATTCTGGCACAATTACGATCATTCAATTCGTGTCACCATCTTGAAACAACGATTCCCGTTGCTTAGATATGTACTATGAATGTATTCCCAACGAATTCCATATCGTGCATTGCTTGTCAACTCTGGAACTCGTTGGAAAAAATGAGTAGGTGATTAATTTATTGTGGGAGTCAAAGAGATGATGCGACTCAATGGTCCGATATGCTATTGGATATTACATAGAATAGAAGCCAGTACCAAGCCTGTCGTAGTTTTCTTTCTCTTTGTTCATAAAAGTTAAAGGAACCTTATGACTGAAAGAATTCTTACTGATCGAAATATTTTTAAATAAACATCTTTCCTATTACAAAAGATTCTCGTTCACCTACCCCTCATTTATTTATTTCTAATTAAAATACTCCTCCTTTCCATATTTCTTAAAAATGTCATTTCCTTATGTATAAGGCATATAATAATTTGTTGCTTTAAATAAATGTTTTAAACAGGTAAAGTAATGACACAAACTTCAAAAGCAACGATTTGGTAGAACTTTAACTGTATGTGTGAAGACGTCCTGATTATTAAGAAGAAATGATCATAAGTTTCTAAATATGTTCACTAGCATAGAACTCGCTCAGTATATATAATTTATTCGGATTCCTGTTGTCCTCAGCATTAATGAGTTTGTGAATTACTATTACGACTTATATTTTCATGCATCAACTTAAAGAGACATATCGAACTGAAAAAATTACTGATATAGTACCTGCTACAAGTTATGTATAATCCTTGTCTTTACTTAGCTCAATCATTTTAAGATGAAGAAGTAATAATCAACGACAATTACGATTTAGTACACGAAAATTCTGAACGTCCAGTAAAAACAGAGCCAACTATCTAAATTTTTTTTCCATATAGGTAAACATCTATTGGAGCTTATTAATTTTTTAATCGATTAGAAAAATTTACTTGAACATCACCTTATTTAGAAATGTAAGTTAATCCAGTTGACTTAAAACTAGCAGAAGTCAATTAAAGCTGCTACTAAATAACACGACTAATGATTGGATATTACAGACTTTGATAAGTATTTTAATAGAAATCTATTTGAGGCCACGGTAAAACAGATAAAAAAAACACAGGTATGATTTAAAGAAGTTTGTGTGACTCTATTCACTTTAGGTAAACCTATGATAAGTTTAGATTCACTTGGTATTGTTTGGCTTGTATCTTCCCTTTGAGGTTTAAGATTGCAATTGATCAGTCTGTTATTGACATATGTGCATAATGTGCGTATGCCTCGATATTGCCTTAATTCACAAGCTTTTTGTAAGCAATGAGTGGATAGCGCGGTGACGTTTGAAGCGAATGGTACTGGGTTCGAGTCCCAGAGTGAACATCAACTCAGACGCAGGTACATCCAGCTGACGAGTCCCAAATAGGACGAAACGTGTGTCCTGGATTCCACTGCTAGCTAATATCCATCATTGCTTATGATAAGTTTAGGTTGAAATAGGTGAGACTACCTTCTAGTGTTGAAAGCACCAGTTGAACATACATGGGCATAATGAAGTATTACATATATACTCAGCTGATCCAAAAATACTAACATATCCACACTGTCTGGCAATGATAGATATCAATCCAACTCCTGTAAAGAAGCCTACGGATACTTTTTTAGTGTTTATTGAATAATATACTTATTAAGTGGCTTTAAATAAAATAGAGATATAAAAACATACCTAAGTAACCAGTTAATGCAAATTTCGCCATTAAATTGGCATCCAGTACACGTTTTAAAGCTAATTCAGTAAAAGCATTTTTACGTGTTATAGATTCATTCAATGTTTGTAAAATAGTTATACCACTAAAATTTGGGGAAAAAAAATAAGATTTTAATAAACTATTGAGCAAATTTGTGGAATATTAGTTTACTGAAATAATCTTGAATAAAGAAACAGTTTAACTAATGAAATATATGACTGAATTAATTACAATTAGGAACTTAATGAAATATTAGTAATCCGAAATGTTTGATTTCATAGAATAAATTTATAAATTTAAAGTGATTATGATTTATCTCAATGGTTGAGATCATGAGTCAATTGAAGCTAAACCACCATGAAAAACCTGGAAGCACTGAACGGCCGTTTCGTCCTATCTTGGGACTCCTCAGCAGTGAGCATCCAGGGCCGACCCCTTCTGATATGAATTATGATTTATGTTGTGAATCCTATTAATCATTTAGTATTTGTACAACATCCTACTTGAATAACAGTCGGTAATGTTGATTTCATAAAGCATGAACAATTTAATTTGTGTATCTGAACCTAAATTAACAATGACTTAAAAGTTATAGTGTAAACTATTTCTTGTAGCATAATTCGTTATACCTGAATACAAAAAATGAATCGTAAAGTTAAAATGGTCAATAGAATTTCATACATCTTGTTTCTTTAATAATCCTGAACAAAATTAGAATAATAAGATTTACACTACCACTGGATTCCAAAGGATATAATGAAACGACGATGAATGAATCACCAAACCTCAAACAAAAGTGTGGCTCAAAATTCAGCTATCATTTATATACAGTAGACTAAAATGAACAGTTTAAAAGGCTTAATATGTAAGGGAAACTATTTTAAATTGATTTCATTAGATTGTGGAACTCTCATCTTTAAATAAAGATTTTCGAAATATTTTGCTTTATTAGTTAAGTAACTCCATTTTTAAATGCCTGTAATAATTATTTTATTGTTGAAGGCAGCATGCTAGCTAAATAATTGCTAAATAAAGTAACAGGACCATACTTACTTTAACTGAGATAACGTTACAGCAGCTGTGTGGTCAGCTGTCAATGAAGCGATAGCCCAACATGCTGAACGACGCACATCATTATGTGTTGATTGAACTAAATTGAGCAAACTCGATAAACCTCCAAGTTGAATAAATTGTTGGATATTATGTTGTTCAGATATTAGCGAAGCCACTGCTAATGCAGCTTTAGATTGAGTTAATACTGAACTAAATTAATTTAGAAACAAAATGATGAAATTTCTATAAAAAGTATAAAACGTTTGTAATTGTGTCATGAAATTTTCTTCAGAACTCATCAAAACCATAGAATTTAGTCATATCAACCAATTCTCAAGGATGCCACAAACTTTTCCAGTGGTACTTTAGACATATCACTTCAACAAACACAGTTTATTGCTTATTAGTATTGTTTGTCATCGTCCTCGAAAGTGATGAAAGCTAAATATACGTACTAATCATTCTATATAGAACATTATTCATCAGAAATAACCTAGCGGCAAACCTTCCAAAAACATATTTTGTTTAAAATTCAGTCACAGGTGAAGCATGCTCAAATAATTTCTGTTATGTTAAATGACTTATCATTTTTTTTGACACTTCTGACCACTACATTTAACCTATTCGAATAACTTTTGTCTGTCGATAGTACTACTTAATTATATTCAGTAACTAACTTCATTTTCAATCATTTTGGTTACGTCCTACCGTTTCTGTATGGTAGTTTTAAGTGTCTACCCGTGCTTGTAACATTCATTTAATTTATTATTGAAGTTGGAACTTATTTATATTCTGGACACAGGCACTGCCATATCCTATTTTTTTGTAAATATTCTTTAAATAGCTATTCCGACTTGATAATAGTCGTAGACACGTCACGAAATGAGGTTTTTAATATCTTGGATATATTTCCGTAATAATAATAATACCGTATTCCAAAAAATATCTTTTTGATTTCAGGTATTTACGCGTGACTCAATAACTGGGTCAGAAGCTTTGGTCGAAGCAACATAATCAAAATGTATCTCTCTAAACCTCAGCATTTAATTCATTTGGTATTGTTTACTTGAATCTCCCCACTGATGTTTTGGACTGTAATTGATCAGTCTCTTATTGACATATGTGCATACTGTGCGTATCGCCTCAGTATCGTCTTGATTCACAAGCATTCTAAACAAAGATGGATAGTGGCTAGCAGTGGAATCCACTGGATTTCATCTTTGCTCAGCATTGATATTGAATTTTAGCCAGCTTCATATCTATCACTTTACGAATCTTGAAACTGGGACAGATTAGATGTCAGTCATATGGTCGATGTACTAGTTGAGAATTAAGAGGGTAAACAAAGTTCATATATTTATTTGAATTTGATTTGAGCGTTACAGAAACTGCTGGAAACCATACTGAATTGTGAACAAGACCGATGCACGTTACCCTCCAGAATTCACTAGAATCTAACCATACACATTATCTGGCTAAAGATATCCTAATAATTTCCTTGCAAACACTTAACTTATAGGAATAAACACTGATACTAGCAAACACTGATTTGATAACCATTTAGAATCTTTTCTGAGTAATCAGAATAGCTCTTTTCGTTAGTGAGACAATCGGATAATTCCTACTCATTGTAATTTTAGGTTGCTTAAAATGCACATAAATAGTAATAGTTTGCTAAGTACTATTTTTCACATATACGAGACAACTTTTGTCTACTGACGCTCCACCATCAAATAAAATATAAGGTTCTAGGGATAGTCATTATATTTGTTGATGATTTGTGTATCATCAATACAAGCTCATTTCTATTATAATACTGACCTGATTGATCATATCACTAAGAGAAAATTATTTCACATAATGACAATTTTATTTTAAAGATTAAGATGTTTTGTTTTTACAACAAATAATAAACTAACTTTGAATTTAGGGTTGGTATCAATAACTTGGCCGTTATTACATGTAAAACCTTTGGTCGAGTAGTTTCTTCAGTAGCCAAATTCGTCAGTGCAATTAATCCACCCACTGTAATTAAGTCAACTTCAGGATCACCTATATGTAAACAACTAAGCAATGCCTCAAGCCCTGAATTTCGACTTGCAACCTCACTACAAAAGAAAATTAAAATGAAACTAGTATCAATACAATGAATTATATTTATACATAAATTGTGTGGTCTTGAATTGGGAAATACAAAAAGAGTTGCTGGAGGACATTTTATCTGCAACTCAGAAAAAGTGAACAAAAACACAGATTATAACCAGACATATAACTACCAGAAAAGATAAGCAAACTATTAAGCCTAAGTATTTAAAATAAGGGGAAATGGAAAAAATATCTAAATCATATTATTTTGTTTGAAAATACATTCTCATGACTTCTGTCATAGATTCTATCCATATTGAGGATATCGACCCGAAAAGTTTGAGGCTAGTTTAGAACAACACTTGGTTACTCGTTATTTTGGCTTTATGATTTAATTTAGCTACTTTATAAGCACTCATAACTTTTGTACATAATATAATTTAGAGAAAGAAACTGTTAAGTAAGGCATCAAACAAGTAAAGCCTCTACGGGATCTCAGTATCTAGGTATAACTGACATGCACACTAATTTCAAGCCAGAATATAATCAGATATAAAATAATGTGTAAAAGCGTTCAATTTAAACAAGTTACCGACAAATTGATCCATTTCCAGTAGTCAAAGCAGCTAATGCTGTAGCTCCAGCTGATTTGAGTTCACGATGATCGCTCCGAGTCATACGAATAAGTAATTCCGGTCCACCTATGTATGTTAAAGAACGGGAAAGTTAAGTAGCAAAAGGTAGTATCATTTATATTACCTAGTTCTTACTAATAAAGGAACCTAACATACCCATTTAATCTTATTCACTGTTCAATTAAATGATTTTTTCGTGTTTGATTTCGGTTATTTTTGAATATACTACGGACTGGCTAAAATAATATATCCATTTCACTGGGTTACCAAGTTACTTGGACGGCCTGTTGGTGATCCGTCGTCAACTTCTATTACAGGTTCTCTGTTTTTTACATAACCAAATTAAATTATTCTGTTACTTTTTGTGTAATGACCAAACATTTAGGGAATTAGTCTATATCGCAAACAGTAGCTAATAGTTTTGCTCCTGAAAATCAAGGATGAAAATTCATTATAAATGATGATGCAGTTCATTTATGAAGTCCTGATCAATGTACTTTGCCTTCAGTCATAATTTTTATGTAAAAATTAGTAATACCAACAGTTTGCTCAAAGTAAATGAAGTAGAAAGAAGTGCTAAATTGTAACTGAGCGGTTAAAGGATAAGTGCCTTAATTATTAATTCGCTGCTTCACAAATTTCGTGGACGTCACTATTTTTATTTGAGTAGTGGTGATTTAACTCTTCTTAAATGATGAATCAATCCAATTAATCAAAATATAAGTATGTTCTGAAACATTACTATCATTTAAAATTTTTAGAATTGAGCACTACATCATTTCTAATCACACTTTTCCTAACTCAACAAAATCTCCTCTCATTTATTCTTCGTGTTTTTGCTAAATAGTTGACAGAGTTGGATTACGCAGGAAATTAGTAAGAAAATCTACAAAATGGTCGCAGTACTTCCCAACAATGAATGGGTAGGTTTCATGAATCCTCTCAACTTCCAGTCTAGAAAATCTTCTATAAAGAAAAGAACCTGTTTCTATAGGGTTACACTGAGAATTCGGGAAAAAAGTAATGAAAACATCCGTATCACCGTAACCGATCCCAAGCCAAGTGGTTTAATATTATCAGGTTGTAAGATCCCTATAACTGTCTAGAGAACTCAAAACCCAATTGTCATTGAAAATGTCTGGTATGTAAAAACGAAATTCTCAATAAATATTTTGAGTGAAGACGGAAATCCTGCATATGTCACAAAGTGTGTTGTATTTTATACAACTTTTAAGATTTAGAGAAGCTCAAAATCAACCATCGAATGACCATACACTGTGGTTTATTGCCGTATACTAATGGAAATACAGTAGATTAAAACAAATAGTGAATTACGTAGGTTACGTTCCTGTAGTATTTTAATTTAAGTGAAATGCTTAATTTAGTTTCAATCAAATTCAGTCTGTATACCTCAGTAGCAACCATGGTTAAGAATGGCGAAATTCCAAAGATTATTAAAATGTTGAATTTCGTTGTTTTATGTAGATAACGGCATTTGCGGAAAAATTAGTTTTAGAAATATGTGACACTTAATGCCATATAGTTTAGATTTACACTTTGAGTAAGCATATGATAAATTTATTATGCGGTTCCAAAAACACTGATATATAGAGTGGATGAGATATCCGTGCTAATGAATATGATTGTTTCTGAAAAAAATAGCATGAAAAGTTGAAGCTTTTTGTCGTTGGATTACTGAAACTACTAGTTTCCAAAAATGGTAAGGTGTATTGAACTTAAAAATGAAACATATTAAACGCCAATAAACATTATGTTGAAGCATGAATTTCCGTGTAGTCGAATTTGTGGTGACTTGTCCATTAAACTTTTCCATTTCTTTCTTAAATAACCTGCCCTTTTTTAATCTGTAAATCGCTTCTTTATTAAACAGTTAGACTCGTGAATTTTATAGTTGTATCAATATGTGTTTACTGTAGACATTAGTAATGACAACATTTCACGAAATGAAAATAAACTTTAACACTTATGACAATTATATTTAGGGTTGAGAATAAATATAAACAATAAAGTTGTAAGTAATTATTATTTTAATCTCTTAGTTCGCAATCTGTTATTTCTTTTGAACTTTTTAGTTAAGGCTTACCGAATCGTGCAATCAAAAAACATATATAATATCAAAAATATGTGAAAATATTATTAATGGAAGTCATTGTTTAATTCCCCATCGGTTTTCTCTATATATTTACAACCATTAACTAATTGGTTCATAATAATTCCTTTAAATATTCTCTTTCAACTGCTACATAACATACTATTACGTAATGTAGGTACTCATTCGATTGATGTTATCTTATTACGATGAATGTTTCTAAGTTTACAAACCAGTGTCCTATTTATTGAAATCTGACTATTTTAAATGCAAATAAATATTTACAAATCGTTTTTATTACTGTAAATAAATTTTTTGATGATTTCAAAAAAAATAATCCTGTTCATTATGTAATATTCATATTCTAATATGTATTCACCTAATTCAGCTATTCTATCCTGACATACTGAACTTTCTGACAGTATAGCAATAACTTGTGCTGATGCAGCTCGTACACCTTCATCTTCATGAGATAATAGTGATACTAACATCTTTTCAACATCTGCATCGTGTAAAATTTTCCTTGTTTCTTCTAAAATAACACGGAAAAGACAAATTGTTTTAAAATCAAATACAGTGAAACAAATAATGAATTTTTTTAGGATGACAAAAATAAATATCAAATTGTAATATCTGAAAAAGTACTGAGTGTACTTAGATTGCTATTAGAAGGAATCAAAATATAAGAGACTAAGATAGAAAGGATGGATAATGACACATGATAATGTGGAGAAGATTTGTAGCTCAGGTGGATGATTTTGATGGAGTTTTGTTCTCTGAGCTGGATGGTTTGGTCGTGGAGCTTTCATCGTTCTTCTGAACGACATCATCAGCACAAACTTCAGATAGAAGTGAAGTGTTCGAATTTCTCCATATATGTTTCACAGCTTGTTCTGTGCACCTCGATGTTGATTGGTTCTTGTTGACCTTAAACTTATCATTGTTTACTTCTTTGTTTTGGTTGTGTTCATGAGCATCAATTAGCAGCCAAACGCCATGATATCTCTTCACTTATATCAACACACGTGGATAACTACGGACAATCATTCGATTGGGAAAATGTGGAATTGTTAGACAGAGGAAACTCCAAAAACACCAGAGAATTTTTAGAAGCCTGGCACTCAGGTCAATCAGCAATCAACAAACATATTGAAATCAATCCAATTTATCAACCAACCAGGAAAATCATGCATAAATATAGGAACAAAAATCAAATCAATGGGAGACACAACCAAAACAAAGAAGTAAACAATGATAAATTTAAGGTCAACAAGAACCAATCAACATCGAGGTGCACAGAACAAGCTGTGAAACATATATGGAGAAATTCGAACACTTCACTTCTATCTGAAGTTTGTGCTGATGATGTCGTTCAGAAGAACGATGAAAGCTCCACGACCAAACCATCCAGCTCAGAGAACAAAACTCCACCACATGACAATGTAAATTAGGCTAAACTTCACATATTTATGTGTAAGAGAGTTCTAAGAAAGTTCTATGATCTGCTATCTTAAACAGTAGGGTTGTCTATACAACATTCAAGAAACATTTAGTTGCTCACATTAACTGTTCCGACAGTCTGTATCTTACTGACTTTCTTATTTATGGTATCTGGTCTGTTGCTGAGCATTTACTCAGTGTAGCTTGATCTAATTCATTTACCATTGTACGTTAGAGCGATTTATATATGCCTAACAAATTATGTAGAGTATTCTACTTATATAGACATATATAAATAGTATGTAACACCAATCGCAAGTGGAATGCCTGGCAGCAGATGATGGTAATGAATTTAACAGGAAGGAAATCTGAGAGCGATCTAAATAACTAGAGAATTAGAAGAATAATGGAGTGTGTAAAGGACAACGCAGAGATGTGTAAATGATGTATCCAATGTATGATTTTCATATTTTACCAACCCATTGTGTGATTTTGTGTTAAACATTAAGTTGGTTAGTCCAACCAAGTATTTGTTCATTACAACTATTCTATTTACTTAATTTACACAAGTTTTTAACCTCATAAACTGAATTGGTTTTCTCCTGAAAAATTATAATTAACACCATTTCTCATTTGAGGTTTTTGTACACACGGTTGTATAGTATGGAAAAAAACATGCAGTTTATTAAACAGTTGACAATTGAAGAGCATAGCTACACCTCCCCTAGAAAATCATTTCTATTAGTAATCAAGTCAGTCCAGACACAACTTCAGTGTGTGACATGCAGTTTAGTAGCTAGCCTACTATCAGTAGAGTGAAATGCTACACAATGTAAATACGACCAATAAATGCATGTAGCGTGCTTTAGCAGAATAAGCTATCAATATTTGATAGTTTTTATTGATGAAAAATCTCTGAAAAAACTGTCATGCCCGTATGCTTTAGCTGTTAGTGAAAGGTTGCAGTGAAAAGTTTTGAAGACGGTCACCAAAACTAAAAATAGTGTATGTGCCCTGATGTAGTGTTTTCTGATTTTGTTTGTGTAGACATACTTTCATTTACGAACTCTGATCAAAAGAGTTATGTCAGACATGCTAAGCAAATACTCACCAAAATCGCAATATTGACTTGTCTAAATGTGGGCTCCGTTCTAGGATTGAAGGTAAATTAGAGTATTTATCAGAACCTGCAATAGATCAATAACTGTTGCCTTTTAGGATGTTGAAAATTGTTAGCTCCAGATTCTGACTGTTATGGCTCAAAGTTCAGTCATATTTTATAGTTATAAATTTACTTACTTCCTTTTAACTGATATCCTCTTTCTTGTGAGCATTCGAACCTAATTTTAATGACCTTTTATCAAGTAAATACACTGCCTTCAGTTTTGTTTAGTCAATTAAATGTAAAGGAAAATAGGCCTACTTTACACTGATTCATCGCTGTATAGTAACAGACGTCGTGCTCATCAAGTCTCCAACACAGATAATGACCTATTGGTCACATTTTAGTGCAATCACTAGTCTAGATATCGTTAGCGCTGTATCTGCGAACATATCATGCTAATGAACTAGAATCGTACAAGCGACATATCGATTAATTTGGGATTGAAGATAATTCTAGGCTATACAGTGCGGTATGTCACAGAAATTTCACGGATATTAACATAAATTTAGGATCAACTGGAAATAGTTGCCAGTTGAGTGGCTCCTTAAATAAATAATGTATAAAAAATCTTTTATAGTAAGTCTTAAATACGAAATATGAGAACTTCTAATTATACAGGTATAATTAAATGCCATCCTATAATTGTAGGACAGAACTAATAAAAATGTAAGTATATCACATTGTCGATAATAAACATAAATGACCTTTAATATTAACTAACCTTTACATGCAGCTCTCATAAGTGCATTACATGTGTAAATTTTCGCTTCTGGCAAAGTATTTGACGGTGGTTTTTCCTCATCTTTTTTTCCTAATCAAATAGTACAATATCAATCATATATAACGTTTTAAAAACGATCAATACGATTGTTCAAATTTCATTCATGTCGACTTATGTACTTCACTGAACCAAAATAAGTAATTCCTATAACAATTAAACTATATATGATCAATAAATGATGATGTCCTATTAGCTACGACAATTAAAAGATAATAATATGTATTTAAATTTATTAAACTAGACTTTTGAAAACTACAGAGGACTGATTAATTAGTTTCAGTGATTTTGCAACACTTCAGTAATATTTAAACTGGGCACAATTCTTAGCATACATTTAAGATAGCATATTGACTCCCAAACTATATGAAGAAAACATTTTGGCTCTCCTTAATCCGGCGTACAGCTATGAAGTCCATGGCAATAAAAGCTAAATTAACTATCTTCACTTCTTTGCGAAGTTCATCCTGATACGCATTCAAGTTTGTATTTATATAGTGTAATGTATCACAATTATCTATAAATCAAAGTGACGAACGGTTTTTGCCTTGTTGGCAATAATAAAAATTCACAACTAGATAAGAATGTTCCCACTAATGAAATCTGATTTCAACCTAACTATATATTTATTTATTTATTTGTTTATTTATCTATCTATCCACCTATGTGCATATATACATATATATGCTATCGAGGTATACGTTTTATACGTTCGTTCCAGGAGTTTATGCTTAGAAAATAAATTATTACTGTTCAATAGTAATAACTGTTTGCCAACCATAATAAATCAAGGCATTATATAAATAATTGTGGTAATTCATCCTTGGAATTGTGGGTAAAAGTAAAAACCTTTTATTGCATAGTATATGCTATCCACAGGTTATGATTGCTTAGTTTTATGGAAAAATAAATAAACTTATTTTTGACTACTCTTTAAGTATGTAGACTCCTAAACAAAGGGATAAATTTTTAATATTCACTCGGACGCTACAGTTATCAACATGATTTGCGTGTATTGGACAGTAAGTGAATGAACTATCTATTTCATAGTAGTTGTAGTTTTTATTGTGATAAACACTCCGGTCCTTGGCTTAACATAAACTTCACGTTCTAGGATATGGGTTATCAATCCTCGAAATATCTAAGGTAGTCCAAAAACCTAAGTCTGATGTAAATTCCGTATAAGCCCTAAAGCTACGAATTAATTTATCTTTTGTTGTTAATTTCTACGTGAACAAGGTATTTTTCCAAAAAAATATTGATAAGAATTGACTGGGTAAAAGCGAAAGTTCCTCTTTTCTATTCTCTTTGGCTTTAAATAATTTTATAAATCGATTTTTAACATACCATCCGGTTCTCCTTTGCTGCTTTTTTTCTTATCACCTTTCTTAGGACTAGGTTTCCTTCCTTTAGCATTCTTGTCTTTATTTTGCTGTTGATTCACAGAATTGACTTTAATATCACTTTCATTATAAACTTGACGATCAGTGATAAAATGCAATAATTTTTGAAGACTGCCTTGACTAACTAAATGCTGTGAAAAATGAATAAATGATAAATTCTTGCTAGATAACAACTGCATGGCTGAAACCTCTTGCAAAGGGAACAAATACAAATGACGATTTAAGTCTATGGCAGCTTTTTGAAGTGTCCTTCTTGCAAACAGTGGATTTCAGTAAGCTTCTTACAACTTCTAGAAGTAATCTGTTTGAATAAATTATCATCACTGAAGTGTGAGTAAGCTTCCTTCACAAATTTTATGCAAAGAGTACCTCAAAGAGCAAAATTTATAAGGTGAGGTTAAGTTGGATGCGTCAGTTGATCTGATGGCTGTTGAAATCTTTCCTACTTCAGACTATCCATCAGATGTAAGAAACCTGATGTCGTTCAAACAGTCTATGGGGTTAATGGGGTCTCAGATACCAGTCGTTTGGGGTACTACGATCCCTGGTTTAAAAAATTCGAGATAAGTACAAACTGCTTTCTATTTAGAGAAAAAGTTTATTTCGAAGGCAAAGAAATAAACTGGTTACTTGGAAAAGTACGGAAGACTGAAAGTGTTTAATTTTTGAGGAATGATATAACTGTTTTACATGTTTTTAACGAGAAATTAAGTTTTATATTCAATAATCATCTGGTTAAAATATGCCAAATGACTTTCTGCAATGGACTGTTCTGAATACGCTAGTAGAGGTCGATTGAGGCTCACTTTCTGCCTTGATAAAATTGCCCTACCTTAAACAATCAAAAACTGTCGTATATATATGTAAACGCGCATAAGTAGCATTCATCTAACGTACTAGCTTACAGTTATCTTTTTTCACAAACAGACTGTCCTACAAATACTCTTAAGAATGTGTTACTCCAGGGTCGTTTAAGACAGAATGTCATCGCACTTCGCCTAATTTTAAGAATAAGTCTATCTTAGAGTTTTCAAAATGCATTCTTCTCATAAGAACTGTTGTGAGATTAACCAAATTACAAAAATCTCACAAATAGTAATCGAGTTGCATAGAAATTAATTAATTATCTGGCAAAACATACCTTTACACATTCAGTATCGTCTAGTAAATTTGCAATTACTTGTAGGGCGGAAACATGTATATCGTTAAATTCCGGAACACCAGTAATATCAACAAATGCATCCAATGCATTCATATCTCTCAAGGCTGTCCTTATTATACCTTTAAAAACAAATATTTTTGACCAAGATGATGACGAACACTGAAAAGCAATTAACTATTTAGAAAAAAGGTTATCAATAAAATGCTAATACGTACACATTTATAGAATATACCACTTATCAGAGTAAGTTAGTCCACAAAGTGTAATGTAGCGGGACCTTATTCAGTAGATCAAGGCTAATCTAAATGCCAAAGACAAAGGTAGGAGAAGGATTGAGCCGTCGTCAAGGTGGACATTATTGTATCACGGAAAATAAAATAGGACTCTAGAGTTGAGAAGCCTAGCATGATCATAGACAATATTGAAGAGTTCAGATATTATTCCCAACAGAACAAAAACCTAGGCACTTGTCAGTAGCTCATGGTTGGAACATTATAAAGGTTAAAACAAGTTCCTGTGGGCTAACAGAAACATTATGATGACCTCAAAAGTACCGAAAATGGTTTGAATAAAAGTTATATAAGACATTTCTAACGATAATGTGTCTAGGCTTTATATAGATAACAATCATTCTTGGGTCGCTACGCAAGATGTTCAGAATACTGTACTTCTTTGACCCCATCAGATAAAGCTATATTATTCTCCTACTTTAAGACTGAGTGGATTTCTGATGATGAATGATACAGTTTTTGCCACATAAAGTACTTTGTTAACAAAATATAATTGTCTGGCCTCAGTATCAACCACTCACTGAATCACTTGTTAGTCAGTCAAAGCTATAGTGGTGTCTTTGGTAAACATTTATCAGCCTAAGTTGTCTAAAGTGGTAAAATAGGCGTAGATTACAAGTATTTGATCATAGGCCTTGAATACTTGGTAAATAACCATGTATCATAAGAAAAATTGAAGTGCTTGATATTCGTCCTTTAGGCTTGATTACAATTGATTGACCACTGTGTGGTGATCAATGTCACGCTTGTCTAGTCCTTATTAGGCTTGATTGTATTGCCTAACTACAGTTCTAAAGAATACAGTGTTATAACTGAGTTATGAAAATCATTTTAGAGTTTATTGTGAAAGTGATAATACTGAAGAGCAGAAAAAACATCATGATAAATAACCTCACGATTTAATATTGTGACAGTTGACTTAATTGGACATCTTAAATGCCTGTCGAAACACAACGTACTAAAATCTCAGACAAAGAGTCGAACAATGTATCATATCAGTGTGTTTTAATATAGCTACTGCTAATGTCGTGCTGATAAATATGCTAACTGATGTGGTCTTGCTTACACATAAATTAAGTATTATGGTAGTGAGAAGATTAATAACAAAAATGCAACTAAAATAATATTTCAACATGAGCATTTGGGGCAAACGTACGATATCTAGATCTATCTTACAGCAGAAATAAATCTAAAATATTATTATCGCAGTTTGTATAAACGGGATTTCAGTAAGAATGCTTACAGTTGATGTGCTTGAGGATAAAAATTAGGAGTTTTAAGATGTATACCAGTAAATCGCAGATATGTCAGCATGACAGCTGGAAAGAACTTTAGTAGTGTAATCATAATGCTTTGAACAACGGTTGCTATCGAACATCGACTAACATAGACGCACATTAGAGTAGGTACACTATCAGCCCGAAATATTTTTATCTAGTCAACAGTTTGAACAGAGGAATAATGTTGTTTCTCAGTAGTTTAGAAGTACCAGAACTTTTACTATGAAGGAATACTCTCAAATTTAAGCAATACTTGAGTATTTTCAAGTATTTATAATAAATTTTCATACCAATCATGAAGGTCTTTCAGATACTTACTGTCTTGTGCTGCTCTAGCAAATATTTTTAACACTAAATCTTGAATAACTGGATACTCCGATACCAACAATTCAATCAGAGTCTCCAGACCTTCAGAAGCTTTCAGCATTGGGCGAGCTTCAAAGTCCTTTCAGAACCAAATGAAATATTTCAAATAGTACCTGGAGTAACATATGTATTATATCCAATGTATTCTTCTGTACATCTGGATCAGGTGATTTCAAACAAGGTATGATAACAGAGAAGCATTTATGCTCTATAAGTTCGTATATACCAACATATTCCAAACAAAGATGTGACAATGTCATTGCAGCAAATTCTTTTGTTGTCTCAAATTCTACATTAAAACAACAAGTTCGGAAGATAAAGCACAGCATACAAACGATATACCTTCTGAGTCCAAAAGCTTGAGAAGATCAGTAACAATTGTTGGCAGTTTCCTAATGATAGACCTTGCAGAAGGAAGTGACGATAGAACTCCATAAACAAGTACCGCATTCCTTTTTACTACCCTATTTTCATCTCTTACTAGAGGCTGGAGGTACTCCAGAACATTTAATGATATCAGTGCTTTTTTGTTTTCGTCACCTAAATATAGATTACAAAATTAAAAGTAAACAACTTTTGTTTGAAAACTTGTATAATGCTTCACAAGCTCGGGTCTTAACATCGTCTTCAGGACTTTTTAGCATAAGTACAGCTGACTCAGCTTGATGTATACCAAGTACAACCTCATCAAACTTGATTTAAAAATAAGAGATTTATCTGATCTTACACAATCTACGGCCGATATGTCATCGCGTTTGCTCTTCTTTCCTGCCGTCATGCCAACCAGATTCCTATGTGACGTTGAGGTAGTAGTAGACTTGGTTCTAACAGGTGAATACTATAGTCCCCAGGATTTACAGTGAAAAGTATGGAAACGAGAATCTAGAAACAAAAAACAAAGAATGGTTTTAAGAATGATTGTACAGACAGGTCATAGAACATTTAAGAAGTCTTATAAAAATTCAGAAAAATTTTCAGTAAATCTGTTCCAAAATACACCGAAAATTAATCAAATTCGTCCCACAGCTTTGAAACTCAGTGAAAAAAATCGTCAACAACACGTTGTTTGACCTGGTTGCCATGCATCTACCTTGAAAATGTATTGTTTTGTTTGAGTGTACAAAGATTTCGGTGTGAAGGAATTGTGATAAAGAAGACTGAACAAAATTATATGACTATATTTATACTATTACAACTATATATAGTTAGAGGATGACTCATTGAAGACATAAAATAAACTTAATTTTAACATCAAAAGCAATCAATCTAAACTGAAAGCAAAATCTTCTTGGAATTAAGACAGTCTTATGGTCGAGACTAGAAGTAACCTTGAAAAGATCTGTTGCTTCAAAAATGCACTGCTGGTTGTTATGACTCTAACGAACTAAACAAAATGCAGCTTGCTAAAAACATTGATGTCACTCGCAATTTCCGAGTTTGAAATAATTTATTTATGCCCTTTGATGCAGGAAAACATTTTGAACCCGATCCAAGGTACATATTTGAGGAATGAAAAAGACATTCAGATACTTCAATTGATATAGAATAGAGACAGCTGAAGTAGATACGTACCCAAGTAACTGAACTATTCTAAGCTCAAATGGACTAAATAAGAGAAACCATGGATCTAAGTCGTGTAAAATTATTGTTTATAAAGTTTATCGAACTATCTAAACATATATCCTCGTGTCACACAGCTAATACTCATTGAAGAATTGGTGAACTAATTACCGCATAAGTGGACTTGGCGAAGAGCATAAACTAACAAAGCTACTACATGAGGTTGGGGAAACAAATGCTGTGTCTACCAGCAGTGTATTAAGAACACATTCTTCATAAAGTCTCATTTTTTCAGCACGTTATAGATTTTCTCTCTGCTTCTTAAGTAAGGACGCACTGGATGACAAAATGGTCCATAAATTTAATCATTCTTGAAGAATAACTTCTTACTATTTACAACACGAACACTAAACGGTACAGTCGACCACCATGTGTCGCTGAATCTAGCCAGTTATTTGAAGTTTGATTAATGATGAGCTAATAAATTTAACCTCAGGACGGTTTTAGTTTCAGTTTCAGTTTGTAGAGGACAGAAGACAAACTGTAATACTCCCTGAAAAGCCTTTTTGTACCTAGCATAAAAGATGGTGTCTGACCTGATAACAATACGCGGTTCATCGAAAATGTTTAACAACGTTTATGAGAATGCATTCATCATGTAGCGGGGTGTCGAGTCGTAATTGACTATGAACACTGCTACCAAAAAAACACGTGCCAAGTTAATCAGAAGGCGAAGGTTGGACGTTACCAAATAAATCCATAAAATCCCCGAGAAGCCAAATACCAGAAGGCAATTAATGGACCAAATCGAGATATATATTTGCTGGCGATCTCGTGGTATCGAAAGGATACCGAGATCGTGCCAGGATACAAGCTTGGTTACAGAGCGTAACCGAATTCGCGCGAAGTTACAATCAAAGGTGTAAGTAAAAGAATGGAAGCAAAATATAGCTGTCATTAGCACAGTCAAACGAAAGCACATTAAAACAAGCACTGGTACAGTTGGTTATAATAATAATTGTTTCTATTAAACCAGTCGTGTTCTCGTGATAAGTGTGAGTTACTACAATCAATTAAATGAAGTCTGCATACGACATGAGACGAATAGCAAGAGTTATACGAGTACGTGCTTGCTAGTAACGTATATAGGTACATTTTTATATACTCCCACCACATTACGGATGGTTTTCCGTATGTGTGAAGTTGTGGAACTAGAAACTAATTTTATGTGAGATGTGATGTCAGCATTATCGGTTATCGGAGGTTCTGATTTTAAAGACATAGGTGAAAATTTGGATGTGAAGGTGAGGAGCTGAGCTGTGCAACTGTTAGTGTCTTGAGGTGACTTCCGTTGATCGTGAGTTTTAGTCTATACAAAAGTACGTTTATTCCTGTCAGTTGAAACTGCCACCTTTTCTTCCTTCTTTTTAATAGTGAAATCGTTTGCTCTCTCTGAAAAGCCCTACAAGGTACCTTGTAAAGTTGCTGTAAAAGGCGTCTTATGGAATCAACACGGACAAATACGAATTCACATTTATCTAAATGTTTGTTAACTTGCCATTTTGTGAAAACTGGTTGAGGTGCAACAGGACTAATTTTGTTCATATGGCTTACCAACCTTTCACAAAATGACGAGGGGTTGGTACATAGAGATTTGCCTCCATACATTATTAGTTCATCGGGAAAAGTTAAGTTAGTTTTATAAATGAGCTGCACAGGTTTGCATTGGAAATCTTCCTTGATTATAGAGCGTGTGACCAATAATATCGGAGGTAAGAATTCGCTCCATTTGATTACATTAGACTGTAGCATCGGCGTGCTTTTCAATTGTCTCACGAATCGTTTCACCAGTCCATTTACTTATGGATCGCATGCTGTTGTATTGATGTGATGGATGCCTAAAATACGTATAAATTTGTTAAAAAGATGCGATTAAAACGGTGAGCCTCCACCGGGTGTAAAATTGTAGAAGGCGAACCAAAATTAGAAATCCATATGTCTAAGAATACAGTGGTAACATTTTCTGATAAGATTTCCTTAACTGGAAATATAATTGGTCATCTGATGAAACGTCCCACTGCAATAAAGATATAAGTAAACCATGTGATGAACCCAATGGATCGACTAAGTCACTATGAACGTGTTAAAAACGACGATCTGGTAGAATGAATCTTAACATTGTTATAATTGTATGTCTATGAACTTTGCTGCGCTGACACAATGGGCAATTTTGTGTCCATAGCCTTATATTTGAGTTCATTTTGGCCACACAAATCGTTCTGAGACCAAATTAAATAAGGTTGAGAACAAACGGTTTGTGTTTACTAGTTGATGTGTCACACATTGTTGTGTAGTCAGAATTTCGGTAAAATACCTTTTAATAGTGAACTTCAATCATGTTCACAAGCGATGAGATCGGGGCCATTATCACCCAAACGAGCGATGTCCAACAGATAGATTTATTTTGTAGATGTTATAGCGCACACGTTTCAGCCTAATAACGCGTCTGCAACAACTTTCAGTTCCGCTTTTATAAACTAAATGTCAGTCGAGAACTGAGAAATATAACTGAGTAGCCGTTTTCCTCTAGACAAAGATCAATCAGTTTTTAGCGTTAAAAGCATATCTCAGGGGCGGTAAGTATCAAGATATCTCTGCCTTGCAACAAATGGTCGAAATAATTAACAACTAGACAAACAGCTATTTTCTGTTTTCCAAAGGTCCTATACCTCGTTTGAGCAGGCTCAAACTTCTTGAAAAAGAAAGCTAGTGGCTTGATCCCACTATTCGCTCGTTGCTGTAACACTACACCAACAGCATTTATTTTTGTCTTTACAAAATTATTGAGTAGATATTTCGCTATAATACTAACGAAAATACTAACAAATGATTTAAAAGTTAGATCTCCTCAAGTTAGATTTGTCTTATATATTTTAGGATTTTTATTGTTTACCACTTGGTAGGTAATGAATAATTCAACTATTCTTTTGAATGATTATTTAGAAAACAGTCTCATTCTCTATGAAGTGCGAAACCATGAGGTAATTTTCCTTGGAAACTGTTGCGAAATAAAAACGTAATATTTTTTTATTATATATTTTTTTTTACCAAGAACTGAATACAGATGCAGAAAGTTTAAGAAAAATGAATAAGCAGTAAGATATATTGTATACAGATAATCATAATTAGTATTATAATAGTTTGAATTGTTTGTACTTACATCCCTGATAAATATAACCAGATGAAAATCTAGGATTAACAAAATTCCATCACAGAAACTAAAAGTGAGTAGTCAAAATTTAATTTTTGTTGTTATTGTTGGGTAAATTTGAATATGGATTTTTTCTTTAAGAATTTTCATTTAATTATTCTACCATTTGAATGCATTTTTTAATTTTTTCATGCTGTTATAACCTGTCAGTTGAATGATGATTGTTTTGGCTCTTTTGATGCTACTTTTTTATCTCGTCGCCACTGATATGTCTTGTAGTTTGTATGTTACTTTTTATATCTGGTCGTCGCTGATTGTTGTGTCGGAAACGCTTATCATTTATACTCGGAACAAGTTACCTCCGCAATTCCCACAACGCGAAAGTGAGAACACAAAGACTGGTATAAGTGGTGATTTATTAACCCCGAAACACGATGACGACGATTCTAGTAGAAAATATACAAATTTATATATTGATTGTACGCCCATTTTGATTATTAATTAGGATGAAATCACATATATGAAAAATACTTCGAGTTATAACAAGTCACAGACTGAGCATAGTTCATGTCAATGGAATACAAGAATACCGTATATTATTCAGAATAAAATATCGTACGAGAGAAGAAAACAAATACTACATTGAGTAATCATTACATTGAATCGAAACGGAAGTCATGTTGAACAAAACTCATAATGAGTAAATCAATCGAAAATTGAATTTTCTTTCCTTTATCTCACATACTTATTACCGTTTTATTAATCCTTATCAATGAGAATATTTCTGATATTAGAATACAAATGAAATATAATGATTATTAGTGATTAATTCTATAATGTTTAGGTTGTATTTAGTGGCCCATTATCTGACTCCAATTAGATCGTGTGACTATCGTTATTGAAATATACGTATTCGAAATTCATTCTCTTAGTTGAATTATTTAATTTCGTTATTCACTAACGCGATTTAAGTTGATGAGTATGTACGAGGATTGTCAACATGTATATTTCAATGACAGTCATTTATATGATCGACCTGGAGTTAGATATCGGGCCACTAAAGTGGTGAGCACGTCGACAATATCATCGTCCTGTCTAATTGGCGTCAAAATAACGGGCCACTAAAGTATTCAGCTGATGAGAAATAACTCAATAAAATGAATTCATGATATTCCACTACGTTAATTGTTCTTGCTTGAGTCAAATTTGTAATTGAGAAAAATTATATGAAACTAATTTTTTTTCCTGTAAATGGACTTGTTGAGTTTGTGTGAAGTTTACAGAACAATTAAATCAAACAAATCAAATCCAAATAGTCACTTTAAATTCAAAAAAGAATAATCAATCAACTTGTTGAATATAATCGTTAAAATATTCAAAGGCAAATCGGTTTTCATTATTGAGATATTACAATTAATAACATTTCAACAAGATCAGGGTGACTGTTATCATCGTTTAAGACGGATCCGAATTTTTCGTGTTAATTTATTCAAGCTCTGTACAGGTTAATCATGTGATTATACCTCTTGATATTGATTGTTGGGATGAGATTATGATAGTCACGTGTTTATTCTTTTCAATAA